CAGCCTGGTCTACAGAGCAAGATCCAGGACAGGCACCAAAACTACACAGAGAAACCCTGTCTTGAAAAAACAAAAACAAATAAAAACCAATTACATAATAATATTGTTTTAGATATAATATCTCACACGTAATTTTGTATATGCACTACAATTGTCGATAGGGTACCCAGATTGTTGACTGAACTTATTATTTCTGGTTGTGGCTTGAGTGCTTCACGAAAAATTATTGTTTCAAAGAGCAAATGCAGTAAAGCAGTTCTTCAGCCTTATGTTAATGGACCTTACTCAATCCTGTGAAAACCTGAAGAAACAAAAGGGAAAAGAAAAGGGAATGTGCCCCTTCAACATGATTGCTGGAATGGAGACAGAAATCTTTCCTCTCCTCTGACAAAGACTTACACTATTGGGTCCATGGTTCTTATGCCTTTGGGTTTTAGCTGAACCATACCACCAACTTTCCTGGGTCTCCAGTGTACAGGCTGAAGACTGTGACTTCTCAGCCTCCTAAAGAGCCAGGTCCTCCTACTAAATATCCATCAGCTATTTCTCTGGAGAATGGTTACTTTCAAAATTATAGGCTGCCATACCTGTCCTATTCTATTTTCACCTTCAAAAGACGTTTTCTTACTACCTGCCTCTCAAATACAACCTTGTAACAGTTAGAAAGCTTTTGTTTTAGATCTTAAAAAACAAATACCACAAAAACTAAAACCAAACAAACAAAACTAGACTCTTCTCCTAGTTCCATGTAACAGGAGCCAACTCCTCAGAGGCCCAACTTTTTATTCTTAAGACTTACTATTATTCACTGCCTCTACTTCCTTACCAGCTTACCAATTTGGCTTCTTCTACATCATGCTACAAGACATGTTCACACAAAGGTAACTAAACAGCTCCAGAGAGGACTGCCATTAAGACCTTGTTAAGGGATGGGAATATAGCTGAGTATTTGAGTAGTTGCCTACCATGTGTAAGGCTCTAAGTTCAATTCCCAGCACTGCAAAAAGAAAATAAATAAAATAAACAAGCAAATGCATAAAAAAATTGAAAAGGTCAGTTTCCAGCACACAAGTCCAGCAGCTCACAAATGCCTCTGATCTCTGAGGGAATTTTGTGCTCATGTATACACACCAACAGCCACACACAATCAAAAATCTTTTGTAACATGCTTCTTTTAAAAGAAAAGGCGCCGGGCGGTGTTGGCGCACGCCTTTAATCCCAGCACTTGGGAGGCAGAGCCAGGCAGATCTCTGTGAGTTCAAGGCCAGCCTGGGCTACCGAGTGAGTTCCAGGAAAGGCACAAAGCTACACAGAGAAACCCTGTCTCGAAAAACAAAACAAAACAAAACAAAAACAAAAAAAAAAAAAGAAAAGAAAAGGCATTACTCTTCATTCATTTTTTTCTTGTAGGACTGGGAACTGAACACAGAGTTTTCTATTATAGTAGATGTTCTACCACAAGCCACAGGTCTGGTTTAGTCATTTTTATGTATACCTGAAGACTCATTATCCTTATCTATCTCCCTCATCTACAACCACAACACACTTAAAAACCCTCCAGATTTCCTTATAACACTTTGCTTCCTAAATCTCTGAGCATCTACTCTGTGTTCCTTCATTCATCCAAAACACTGTGGCTAAGATTAAAGTTTGTTCTATCACCTCTATTGCTTTTACCTAGAACCAGGCAGGTAGTTGCAAGATGGCTGTCAATTACCACTGCTTTGAAACAGTGAAATTAAGCATTGCCTAACTGCTTAGGGGTAAAGCAGCTGCCCTGAAGACAGAGAATAACTGATGACAAAAGGAAACGCAGCAATCAAGAGATGAAACTTGTGTTTGACAAGGCAGCATGCACTTCTAGGAAGTGCTGCCCATCTAAGCACGAGCTCACAAACTATGCCTGACACTCATTTCCTAAGCAGGGCTGTTTGGGGGCATTATAGGATAAGCTCTATTCACTTGATGTTAGCTAGCATTCTACCCCTGGGTGTGATATCCTAAAGTGTCACTGGCCTCAGTGAGGAACACTGCTTCCCCCAACCCAAGTGCTCTAGAGAGACTCCCATTATAGTCAAATAAAGTGAGAACATCAAACAGGTAATTTCATGCTTCAAAAATGGTGAGAACATCAAACAGGAAATTTCATGCTTCAGACTCCAGACAGAGAAGTAGTGGGGAAAAAGGAAAACATACCCCTCTCATTTTGAAAGGCAATGAGATTTAAAAGGGGAGGGGAGAGTTGTGTCTTCTAAATGGTTACTTTGCACTAGGAAATGAATTGGATGGAGAACATCAGGTAAGCTTCATAAAATAAATAAATATATAAATAAATTGAGGTGAGGCTTCAAAAATGAGAAGCATTGAGGATAGTGCTATTGGACATTGAAGTAGAGGAGAAAAGGAAAAAAACAAATCGAAAATCTAAGGCTAGGTCTCTACTTAAATGGCTCCATTTGTTTTCTAGTCTAATAAATTGGAGTAAAAGGACATCCTAAGTCTACTGATGTACATAAATGAATACAACATTCTGTTATATCAATCAATACCTAACCTGAACACTCAAGGCAGCCAAAGATTCAACCACAAGAAAAGTTATTTTCTATTAAGGCACTGTGTTAACACCTCAAATCCAAAAGCTTAGTGTTATTTTAATAAAACATCACACGACCCTTGGTAGTTATTCCGTTTTCTAATGTGCAAAAACTTGAGCACTTATATGTACACCAACACACACACAACACACACACACACACACACACACACACACACACACACACACAGATGTTTAAAAACTTACCATGTAGCTGACTTTATCTTAATTTAATAAAGCAGCTTTGCTTGCTACATTTCTGTTGTGGAATATTAGTTGAAGATGTGTTATATTTGTTTATGCTGTGGAACATTTGTTTAATGATACAAAGATGCGTTGTATTCTTTTATGTTGCATTTGTTTAACTCTGTGAAGCTGTGTTACTTTGCCTCTCTGAAATACTTGATTGATCTAATAAAAAGCTGAATGGCCAATAGCTAGGCCAGGAGAGAGGATAGGCAGGGCTGGCAGGCAGAGAGAATAAATAGAAGGAGAAATTTGGGGAGGGGAACAGAGAAGAGAGAGAGAGGACACCAGGGGCCAGCCACCCAGCCACACAACAAACCATAGAGTAAGAAGTAAAGAAAGGTATATAGAATAGAGAAAGATAAAAGCCCAGAGGCAAAAGGCAGACAGGATAATTTGTTAAGAAAAGCTGGCTAGAAACAAGCCAAGCTAAAGCAAGGCATTCATAACTGAGAAAAAGTCTCTATTTACTTGGGAGCTGGGTGGCAGGGCCCCAAAGAGCGAAGAGTGAAAAACAACAACAAAAACTCACATTTCACTATCACTAACTTAATAATTGCATGTTTTTTCCTCCAAGAGGAGCTCATATAAGCTGTGGAGTGTTATGAACCTGCCTACAAATTGCAAAATAGGCACAAATGAAATATACTTTTAAAATTGCTATGAAGTTCGATTAAAGTCCTATGTGACCACTATCTGGGCCACCAGCTATATTCCAATAATGTATTCATTACAGTACTATATAACTATCATATATCAATAGCTCCCAAACTCCCCTTTTTTTCCACAAACTTTTAAGGAAATCCATGTGTTTTTAGAAGACAACAGCATTTCTCAAGTATATCTCACATCTAGATGCAAATTATTTGCCATGGTAATAAATAAAAGGGTAAGGTGGAAATAATCAGTGTTTTGTTTGGGAAGGCATTTAAAAAAAAAATCCACTAATGTCAATGACATCTGATATCCAGCAGCTTAACAGTTGAAATCCAATGTTTCATGGGGAAAATGGAGGAGATAATGACACAAATACAGGAATGAAAGAAACCCAAAACAGTAATGTAAGAAGGGAAAAGCATTATATCAGACAGGAGATTCTTCAATGATCATACTCTAATTCTTTGACGATCAGGAGGTCAGGAAACTCCCAAAGAAACCTGAGTTTAAATTTTACTGTTTATCTAATCAATAAAACCCTTGGATGCAACTTTTCTTTCCAGAAGCCAAAATCTATTGTTAGGTGATACATTTAAAAGATCTGTTACATTATGCTGAGTCCTTTCCCCTGAACTACAATAAACTGGAAATGGCCCATTGAAAAGTCAGAGGTTGTTGAAGATACAGCATTCAAGAAGCTGAGGTTAAGTGGATCCTGAATTCAAGTCTAAGCTAAGTTAGTTCCAACTCCGCCTGGACTACTTAACTCTGCAAGAAACCAAGCATGTGCGCGCGCGCAAACACACATACACATACGCACACACACAAAGAGAAAGCAGCCGCAATGAAACGATTAATTCCAAGAGAAAAAATAATAATGATGTCTAGATTAAGAAAATGTCAACTCTTATCCAAGAAACCTTCCACAGAGAAGGTAGATGGTTACTTAACTCTGACATAAATAAGAATCTTGAGTGCTAGGATACACCGAAGTGAAACTTCAAGAAAGCCTATCTCCAAACGTTTCCTTGAAAAGCAGCACAAACTACAGAGTATTTATAAACGGGGTCTTGCTACTATACAGCTTTGGCAATTCATGAGCACATCCCCTTCCTCCCGATGCTTTGCACACTAAACATATCGACAGGCCTTGGCCTAGCTGCCCGGGTTATCTGCCAGAAAACACGGACTCAACAGCCACGACCTCCTCTAGGCATAAAATCCTAGGAGAACACAAAGGCCCAAGGGGTTCAACCCCTTTTCTTAGAAAGCAGCCTGTTACAGACGTGTGGTTCACTTAGCCAGCATCCCGGATCCCGGCTTCAAAGCCCAGCTCTCCCCAGTGCGGACACACGCGTCACCCACAACCAGGGAGAGGAGAAAAGCTCCAAGTTCCCCCAGCTCCACTTGCATGACCTTGCACATGTTACCTCGGTGTCTCCAAGTCTGCAGGTCCGAACGCACTCCCGGCCTGCGAGAAGGAAGGCTGGGGCCCAGCACCCACCTGCACGTTAGGGAAGGCCGTCTTGAGCAGGTAAAACATCTTGCGGTTGGACAGCACGTCGCCGCTGGTCATCTTGTCCTCGGCACCCTCGCGCGTCTTCCCCTTGGACTTCTCGTGGAGGACGTTGCTCTCGCGGACCCGCCTCACCTCGTCGCCGCCGCGCTCGGCCGCCAGCACCGCCACGGCCAGCATCTCCCGCAAGTCCACCGCGCCCCCATCGGCTGCCGACTCGGCCGCCCCGCCCGCCGGCTCGCCGCCCAGGCCGAAGAGGCTGAAGCGGCCGGCCAAGAAGCCCGAGTAGAGGTGGTAGAGCACCCCGAGCCCCAGCAGGAAGAACACGGCCACCCCCAGCGGGGACAGGCGGATGCCCATGGGGGCCATGGCGCGCGATGGGCGCTAGGGCCGCTCCAGGCCCGCCGCTGAGTCCGCTACAACGGCGCCCGCTTCCCGGCGCCCGCGCGCGCCATCACCGCCCGGGGAAAGCCGCCCCGCGCCCCGCGCCCCCGCCCCGAGCGCCTGCCCAGCAGCAGCCGGCCGCTCGCCCTTCCGCGTAGGCCAACGGCCGACCGCGAGGTGAAAGGGGAGCTAGAGTGTATATCCGGGTTACGTGGGGGGGGAGGGCGGGGAATATCCGAACAGGCCCCGCCCTAGGGCGGGCCCATAATTGGGGGCGGGGCCTGGGCGAGAACGTGGCTGTTTAAGGCAGGTCCATGGCTCCTGTGCCACTATAAGTGTTTGAAATAGAGCCACAGTGACAGTGACTGTCTATCACTCTGATTATTCAAAAGAGGACGACAAGGCATTTTAGAAAGAACCTACTTGAGCCTCCCTCGTGGCGCGTGTACTGTGGGCTGAAGCTTTAAATCGCCTGCCCTGGGGCTTCCAAGGTGGGCGGGGCTGATGCAGAAGGAGGAATGTCATTTAATTCGTTTTGCTGGCCTTGTGATAGTTTAAACCAGAGCTACTCAAACTGTGGGTCTCACCCCCTTGGGGTTGGAATGACCCATTCACAAGGTTTGCATATCAGATAGCTTGCATATCAAATATTTACATTACCATTCATAACAGTAGCAAAATTAGATATGAAGTAGCAACAAAAATAATTTCATGGTTAGGGGTCCCCACAGCATGAGGAACTGTATTTAAGGGTTACAGCATTAGGAAGGTTGAAAAAACACTGGTCTAAATGGTTATGTGTTGATGTGTAGATTATTCTTTGCTCTATTCACCATCCTCTCTGAAGCTGTGAATCAGCATTACCTGATCCGGAGTTTTACTAGGGAAAACACTGAAGGATTCTCTCCTTTCCAAAGAGATTTTAGCACCACCCTCTGTACAGAATTGTTAAGGGGGAAGAATTGCTGGACCAGGACCATTTGGTTTAAAGTACATCTAGATTACATCATTATGAGCCAATCAATGTCCACCAAATGTGGTATAATACAGATGTATTTAAGAGAAATAACTGCCTTCTACAATAACATCTATCATTGATAATAACATTCTCAATTTTAGTATTTAATATTCAGAAGTTTCTCTTCATTTTTGAAAGTACATATGATGATATACTAACTAGCCAGGCATAGTGGCTCATACCTGTAAAACCAACATTCAGGAAACCAAGGCAGAATGAATGCTGTGAATTTGAGGCTAGCCTGAGCTACATAAAAGTCCCAGGCCAGCCCTGGTTAAAGAATGAGATTTGGTCTCAAAAACAAACCAGTACATAAAAAGTGCAACTCCTATATGCTGAAATATTTATATAAAAATCAAAATCCAACCCATTTTGCTCCTCAGTTAAAAAGCATTGGTGTTAACTGGATTTTAATATTGATCACTTTAAAAACTACAAGTATCCAAACTTGTGAGTATCCATTATTTGTTGATAAGTCCTATGGAGTTTGACCTTTATGTTTCTGTACTGATCAGGCACTTCTAGAATTTACCCATAGTTAGTTTGCATGATTTTTCCTTCCTGATAACTAGCTTAAAAGTAAGGCCATCTGAAAACTAGCCACCCAGCTGACTTGGTAAAAGGACAGCACCTCAAGCACTGACAGCCAGAGAGCCTAAGGAACCAGCATGATGCCACACAGCCATCCGCTTTTAAACAGATCTGGAAGTGAGGTCATAGAATAGCTGTCGACCCCACTCCAGCATGAAGATAAAGGCTGAGCTCAGTTCTGTAGGCTAGGCTACCTCAGCTGACATTCACCAACCAACCAACCAACCAACCAACAAAACAAAACAAAACAAAAAAAACTGAGATGGGTAGTATGCAGGAAAAGCTCAAAAGTCTGGGAAGTCTGGTGACATTTATCAGAATAAGTTGAACAGTGCTTTGCAGGGATTTTAGAAAGACTTTAGGGGTGTATTCACTAGGGCACTCTACATTGCATCAGTGGGGTCACTAGGGGAGACAATAATAGGTACTTGAGCATTTCTGCCACAGGAAAGGTATCTATGACCAGAGGAAGAAAGGGCCAAGGCACAGAAAAGGAGTTTAAAAACCATTTCTCTAAGAGATACTTCAGTATTTGGTGATAAGTGATGTTAGATAATGATAGAATAATAAGAGAAAGTATGAGCTGAAGAAAACATTTATTTAAATACATTCCAAATGTTATGGGAGGGGGTGTTGCTAAGGATTGAACTCAAGGTTCCCTCATTCCTCAAGAGTTCCTGGGGTAAATAAGTGTGGGGGCTGGTCTTCTACAAGAGACCATGGAGGAGTGCTGCTCACTGGCTTGCTCTTCATGGCTTGCTCAGCCTGCTTTCTTTCCTTTTTTTTTTAAATTACCTTTTTTCATTTATTTTACATACCATCCACAGTTTCCCTTCCCTCCTCTCTTCCTGTTCCCTCCCCACACCTCTGGTCTACTCCACCCCCCCACCCCCCCCCCCACCCCCCCCCACCCCGGTGCCCCATCCACTCCTCCATTCAGAAAGGGGCAGACCTCCCATGGGAGTCAACAAAGCATGGGACATCAAATTAAGGCAGGACCCAGCCCCTACCCCTGCATCAAGGGTCGGTGAGGCATCCCAGCATGGGAAATAGGTTTCAAGAAGCCAGCTCATGCGCCAGGGACAGGTCCTGGGCCCACAGTGAGGGTTCTCACAAACAGACCAAGCTACACAACTGTCACCCACATGCAGAGGACCTAGGTCGGTTTCATGCAGTCAGCCTGCCTTCTTATAGAACCCAGGACCAACAGAACAAGGATGGCCCCACCCACAGTGGACTGGGTGATCCAGTGACCATTAGAATGACTGACAGACAGCTGGTCAGGTCTGTGGGCAGGCTGCCTCTGCTTCCCTTCTTCATAACCTCTCGTTTCCTCAGGCTCTTGCCACTGACCTCTGGGCCGTGTAGTATGGAATGCTGAGCATACTCTGTGACATCATTTTCCTGCCCATTTAAAAACACTGGCCTTTAGGGGACAGGGCCCACATCCCTGTTTTTCATGGCTTCACTAGCCTATGAGGCTATTCCAGCTGGAATGCATGCTGTGGGCTTAATGTGTTTAAATAAAAGCCAGTTATTGAGTTTATCGCAATGCTTAATTCTTGAGGGCAATGATCTAGTCTTCCTTTGTAACTTCCTTGCTATCTGACACATAACTCACTAGATAATATTGTTCACTGAGTACATGATGCCATGATGCTTTGTGATTGGAAAAGAGAGAGAGAATCTGCATGGATTACCACACATAGCAAGACCTGTCATATGTATTTTTTCTGCTGTCTTAAATTTTTAACTGGTCTTCACAAGTTGATAACAGTGGTCCAAGAGTGCCTATATTCTCAAGAAAACATAGATACCATATGTTACCATGCCAAGAAAAGCTGACCAGTCACTCTTGCAGACATGGAGAAGAGAAAGGTGATGAGAGGAGATGGAGTGTGCTTTTCTTTAAACAGTGGCTGGATGCTGTAATTACTGTTACCAAAGCCTTGCTCTTGCCACCATCTTTACTTCTTGAGTGAGAGGGGTTTGAATTAAGAAAACAATATCTCAAGGACAGGGAACTAGAAAAGTGAGATGAGAACTGGGAATGGTGGAGGCTGAGGCAGGGAAGCACAATGAGTTCCAGGCTAGTCTGAGTTACATAGTAAGTTCAAGGCCAGACAAGATTACACAGTAAAATCTTGTCAAAAGGAGGAGGAGGAGGAGGAGGAGGAGGAGGAGGAGGAGGAGGAGGAGGAGGAGGAGGAGGAAAGAAAGAAAGAAAGAAAGAAAGAAAGAAAGAAAGAAAGAAAGAAAGAAAGAAAGAAAGAAAGAAAGAAAGAAAGAAAGAAGAAAACTTGAGATGGCTTTGAAAAGGGAAAGGAGAGTAAAGTGGGGTCTTGACAAAGCAAATCCAAGGGAAAGGATCCTTAGAGAAGCATCAGCTCTTAGAGTCAGGAGCGGAGGGTGAATCAGTTTGTGAAGTCTCTGTACTGTCCTCCTAAGTTTACACTGAACATAAGCAGCACAAAATGAGGTCATATTATCATAGCTGCTCTGGGTGTCAGCATAAGCCTAGAATCCCCTCTAGAGGGGAACCTCAATTGAGGAGTTGCCTCCATCAGATTGGCCTGTGGGCATGTCTGAGAGGCATTTTTAAAAGTTGCTAATTGGGGCTGGAGAGATGGCTCAGAGGTTAAGAGCACTGACTGCTCTTCCAGAGGTCCTGAGTTCAACTCCCAGCAACCACATGGTGGCTCACAACCATCTGTAATGAGATCTGGTGCCCTCTTCTGGTCATACATGCTGTATACAAAATAAATAAATAAATCTTTAAAAAAAAAAAAAAAAAAGTTGCTAATTGATGTGGGAGGGTCCATCCCACTGTGCATAGTGCTATCCCTGGCTAGGTGGGGCTTGGCAGGATAAGAAAGCTAACTGAGCAAGCCACTGGAAAACAAGTCAGTAAGCAATGTGCCTCTATGGTCACCACTTCAGCTTCTGACTCCAGTTTCTTGTACTCGAGCCTTCACTAGCTCCCTTTGATGATGGGTGGTATCCGACACCAACTGATAGGGCTTGGGTCATGGAACCCTGACTAGGGGCAGCAAGGGAACGAAGAAAGGACAGACAGACACACACACACACACACACACACACACACACACACACACCTCCAGGAAAGCTTGGGTCAGGTGGTATGGTGATGCAATATTCTGAAAGCATCCATTACATTCTAAGAGATTGGAACTTTTGTTAGGCCTAACAGTCAGAGTTGGTTAATACTACACCTTGAGGTCATTTAAGGCTTAAGATTGCTATCCTACTGCATACTTAGTCTGTTTAACCTCTCTTTAAGAGAATAATTTAACAACCGTGCTTGCCTTGGATTTCCCATGTAATCAACTTTCACAACTTAAGCCAATGCATAGGGGCAATCTTAAGTTGTATGTCTGTGGTGGTTTGAGAATGGCCCCCAGAGGCTCATATGTTTGAACATTTGGTCACTGGTTAGTGGAATTGTTAAGTAACTATTAAGAGGAGTGGCCTTGTTGGAGGAGGTATGTC